AAGGGAAAATTGGACAATATCCCAAAAAATTATAGTTTAGTTTTTAGATCAATTCCTTCCAAAACTGTTTTTTTTTTCTATAATATGTTTTTCCCAAAGAACCACTCCATTACCCTTCTTGAAATATCAGGACAAATGATACGTAGAATACGTATTTCAATGTTTATGTACCATCAATGGGTAATGATGATAAAATACTTCCAGTGTAGAATTGTATGCTGTTTACTAAAAGAACGAGAGGAAGGGAGAATAGCAGACTAGTCAAAGTTCATCGATAACTCATCCATCCTTTCCCATTACCAAATCTTCATAAGCGCCTAACCTACGGATCAAAACAGCCCCTTAGTTATAACCAATATTTTTTGCAGCACCCTCTCGGAGGCCATCCAGGTATCCCATTACGGCAGCAAGTTGGGAATTATAAATGGACAATCCGGAAATTGGATAGTGAACGTTACCGGGGAGTTGTTCCAGATTTTCACTGACTTGAACGACCCTCAAGATAAATGTGAGTAGGTGATTATTCAGGTGATCTCGAATTCTAGTCACTAACCTATTGATGAGTTTCGATTTGAAAGTGTTAGTGAAAGGTAAAAAATTAAGGAGGTGAAAGGTGATAAATTTAGAAGAGGAAATCAATGATGGTGTAGCTCACTAAACCGACTGAAAACGAGATGTCCATGAGCAGTTCATTGGTTATCAAAGAACTTATATTCAGATAGATAATTGTATGAAGATGTTAAGAAGAAAATTTTCATGCCGGTGTTTGATATAATTTAAATGTGCTCCGGCTAACCTCAATGTATTCTCAACAAATGTTTGTATTGAACTCAAGCCATGTTTAGATGGTGAATACTCTAATACACTAAAACCAACACTTGATGCCAGAGGAAGCAGATAGAGCTTAGGGAAGTTTCCAGTTTAATCTTCCTCTTGAAGATGATCACTTGGTGATCGAAACACGTGTCAAGGTGTTAAAAATAACGATTTGGTGTTGTGCAAAAAAAACTCCAGTAATAACCATTACTACACCAAAGGTTCCAAACAGTGCATCATAAGTCATGACATCTATTTTAACAATCCGTACTAGTTTGTACCGGTTCTTTCTTGATAATTTGGCATACACTTTCAAATATAATTTGGATTCTCTAACCAATCCAGTGTCTACGTAATCCAGTGCCTCATATCAGAATGAAACGTGATGAGCTATGTGTGTTCCTTTGTTGTACTGTATGTAGCTGAGACTTCTGTTATATAGCCCTATTTAGTTCAGAACGTAAAAAACTATATATAGTGTGTAGCTCTGTATCCATTATTGGCCGATCCCTTCTCTATTGAAACGGCTCGTCAATTATTTCTCAGAATGTCCCTTCATGTAGGCTTTCACACTTGTCAATGTCACACCTGCGTCAATGTTTTGGTTGTTTCCACGGCAAAACCAGGAAACCAAACCAAAACTCTCTTGATGCCGTTTATTATTCCATTTTGATATCACCACAGGTGATTCGAAGCCCACATATGGAGTTGATGATCCGTGTCTAGCCCTCTCACCAGCTTTTTCGTTGTTTGTGTTTCCTGAAAGCCTTGCTACTCATTATGGAGACAGTCTGGTCCTTTTTACTGGGTATTTGAATTTTGTATCTCCTTCAGAAGATCGTTGATGTTCCATAGGATGCTACATTTGGTTCCATACGTATCCATAACCGTGAAATCTTCTGAAAGAGTGCTATTTATGATCACATGTAAAGAACGATCCTGGAGAATACCGGTACATAAACGATATGGCAGAACCTTTGCCATATCGTTTGTGTACCGTCGATTTTTCGATTGTATTATTCCAAACATGGGTGACATATGATGCACTGTTTGGAACCTTTGGTGTAGTAATAAATATTACTGGAGTTATACTACTGGGTGACATATGAAAAAGGTATCGTGTAATGCTATCACAAAGTATTCAAAATTTCAGTAATATATTGATCCACAGCTCCACCCATAATATCGCTGTATGGCATTAATGAAACTGATTAAATTGAAAAATTTACTGTGAATACTATCGAATATAATTTTATAAATTATCTTACAAACCATTGTTTTTTTTATTTTTCTTAGACTCGAATGCATCTCTAGAAATATTTGATCATCATGTTTTCTACTACCCTCACTAGCTGAATGTTTTTCCTTTTCCAAGACTACAGCTCATTTTCAGCCTACCTTTCCACATATGTATATGTACTAAAATTTCAAAAGAGTAGGAACTAAATTCTCAGAAATATTATGTCATTAAAACGAAAACATTGTTGCCAGGTTGTGATTCTATTTATTTTTTCTATATATTTTTTCTCATCTATTTAGTATAATTTCCGAACGCCATTGCAAGAGACAGATTGAGGCAAAAACATCAGTCATTTCTGAGAATTTGGTGCGTACTATTTTGCAATTATACTATAGTATGTATTATGTAGTTATAGAGTTACTTTATAGAACTTTTTTTTCTGAAATCTAAGTTATGACAGATTCTAAAATATTTTAAATTGTCTGATGGAAAATGAAGTATTATTATTATTATCATAATTCGAACTGCTGAGGAGAAACAGTTTTTCAGGAAGTAAGATTTATAGCTCAGGTGAAGGTTGATTCAGGTTCGGATCTTCTACTAAGATGTCTGGCAACCTCAGCAAAACTGTGATGATCTCCTTCACCAGGAAGGGAAAATTGGACAATCTAACGCCTCTTTCTCTCAATGATGAGGTCATTCCATTTGGAACGGAGGTAAATATCTCGGCATTGTTCTTGATGAAAAACTCACCTGGAACGCTCTCTTGGAAAAAGTTTTACACAGATCCAGACTGTCCCTATGGAGATGTCGAAGGGTTTGTGGTAAAACTTGGGGTTTAGGTCCCATACAAACCCATTGGATATATGTGATAATCGTCAGACCAATGATCACTTATGGAGCAACTGCCTGGTGGCTTCATAGCAAAACGGATCAGGCGAAGCTCTCTGGCTTGCAGAGAATATTGTCTTGATATATGAGGTACCATCAGTACCACACTATCAGCGGCCATGAAGGTCCTTCTAGATATATCTCCTCTCCACATTTTTCTGGAGAGAGAGGCTAGATGGACTGCATATAGAACTGTGAACATTGCCAATTGCACAAATCAATCTAATGCAGAGTACACTAGACTGCTGGTAGATACTGAAAGTCACAGCGTTCTGGAAAAGACCTCTGACATTATGCCTCCAACTGTCAACTATGAACTGCCTTATAAAGTACTATTCTTGAGTAGAGAGGACTGGATCCCCCGGGAGAAAGAAATTTTGAGAGCAGATATTTGTTGGCTAACAGATGGATCTGATGCAGGTGTTTCCAATTGCAGACCCAAGACAGATTTATTAACCTGCCTAGGAATCTATGAAACTGTATTTCAAGCGGAAATCTATGCTACGAATTGTGTCAATAAAAATTCTCTCGGACAGTCGAGCGGCGTTGGAAGCTCTTGTCTCTTAACAAACAACATTTAAATTCGTAGCAAATTGCCAAAAAACAACCCTCATTGATTGGAAAATTCAACAAATTGTCTCTGGTCTGGATTCCTGGTCACACTGGCCTATAAGGCAATGGGAATGCTGACGCCCTTGCAAAGCAGGGTGCAGCTTCATCGGACCAGAACCTGTCATTGGCATCGCTTTAGGCTTTGCCAAACAAAGATTGAACACCTGGATGGCAAGAAAATTTATGGACTTCTGGCAGAATCTTCCAGGATTGGCTCACTCCAAGGCGTTTATTCACCTTTCGGAGCTTGCAACTAAACCATTGTTGGACTACAGTAGGGATGAACTACGATATCACTGTCGTCTATATTTTTTTTCTGAGGTTAAAACCGCATATTCAAAATCTTTTTTCATAGGAACTCAATCAATTTGCAACTAATAGATTACTCAATTCAAAAAAGAAGGTCTATTTTACAATTAATTTTTTGAATATTCAGATAAATGATGATACATTAATGAAATCAACCTGTTCTAACAGAGCATGCCACTTTCAAGTTATGCTTTCTGTAAGATGGCCATATTATATCCGCAAATGTACCATTATCACCATTTATGTTGAATTGTAGTTATTATTGGCACGCTTCTTTTCAGGGCCAGTTAACCTATCTCTAGACAGGAGTCTCCAAACAGCAATATCCCACTACCAGAACAAAACATATGTAGACTGTTCGCCAATGAAATTGAAGCCCATGGGACAAGCAATCCTAGTGTTCAGCGCAGATGGTAGACTCACAGACAACGATGTCACCAGATCGAAGCTATCTGTCAACACTCTCAAAACTATCTCTCCAGGAACAAGGATACTATACATAACGCCAAGAGAGCAGAATTCTCTTCAGCAATTTATTGTAGACGATAATGACTCGGTTCTGAGATTTTCCAGCGACATAGTCTCCCTAGCCCAACAAATTTCAAATGAGTTGAGCGGGATCCCAGCGAACATAATCAGGTTTTATTGCAACCACAGTGATATTGTTTTCGAAGATTACATTACTCCAGACATAGTGGTTTTGTATGAAATACACAAAGAGTACATTAAGAGAGGATTTGTTGACACCAAGGTAAATACGTTTTTGTAAATGCTCTTTTTCTTTTTCGCTTCCATTAATTACGATTTTGTGGAAGGCTGAGGTAATATTTGGAATTAGGGTGATTTTTTTTCTAGCCGTTCAGGGGTTTCAGAGACTCCAAAATTCATTTCAGATTTACCTTCGGAACGTTTCGAAATTGGATGCGAATGAAACGAAGGAAATGTTGTTCAAGTTAGACAACTTCGAGTAATTGTGATGCACTGTTTGAAATACTGAGTTTAAATTTTCCTCTTGAAGTTGATCACTTAATGATTGAAACAAGGTATTATAAATAACGGTTTGGTGTTTGGGATAGAACTCCAGTAATATTCAGTTTCGAGTAAGTTCGATTATCTATTGTCATTTCTCATATAGTTTAACCCAGCCTGAAAATATGATTTTACTATAAACATGAATTGGAAAAGTATGAACTTGGACGAGATGAGGTTTAACGAGGTATTACTTTATGCTGTGCAACTCCTATGTGGTAGTTGCGATGGAAATAAAAACTTCATATCGTAAGACATCGACAGATCCAGATTTATACACTCTTATTGTAGACCTGTCGAAGCCTATTGGGTAGCGCCACTACCCAATAGGCTTCGACAGGTCTACAATGTTCCAGAACATTCGAGACTATTCTAGAATATTTCACAATGACCTGGGATATTCCAGGATGTTTGCGAATGTTGCAAACTATTTCCGAATATTCGACAACAGAAGGGAACAGAATGTTCCAGCATGATCTATAATGTAGTGGAATACTATCGATAGACATTTTCCGGTCTGTTCTGAACCAAAAAAGAATACTCACATACTTCGGCAAGTTCACTAAAATCAACCAGCATCTACTTCTATGAACATACAGCATTCCAAGCTACTGGCAAAGGCTAAAATTCGATGTGTAATATTAAATTATAATCAGTGACAAAGAAATTCAGAAAGTAGGTAGGTATATTCTTCATTCTAAGCAAAACTAATTTTTTCAAAACATTAGCTTGGAAAGCTTCAAAAAAAAATTCGATTTTTTTTGTCTAAACGACCTAATTAGTCGATGCCACAATTTTTTTAATATTTCATTCAGGAAACTATGGTGTGTAATTAATTCATTAAATTCTGTTAGAAAAAGATTTCTTAGGTTAGGTTAGGTCTAAAGTGAGTGGGTCTATTCGACCCTCCACCGCAACCTGTAAGGGTTTATTGTGGCTCACACTTATTCACACTTGACCAAATAAACCCAGCTTTTCAAAGAAGCCGATTAGTTTGTATGGTGAGTGGTCTTTCAGGTCAGATGGTAAGAGTACGGCTCTGCCAAACTCTGAAAACCTGATTCGGTCCCCAGCGGGGCAGGCACGAAGTATGTGCTCTGCTGTTTCATTATTTTCCAAACAGAGACGAAACACACTATCTTTTGACAGTCCGAGTCTCAGCATATGATGATTCAAATAGCAGTGACCTGTGAGAAGGCATGTTAGACATCGTAGTTCATCCATACTATTCCTAGTTTGGTATCAAGCTTCGAAGGATGAATAAACACCTTAGAGTGAGCCAATCCTGGAGGATTCTCCCAGAAGTCCATAAATCTTCTTGCCATACAGGTGTTCAATCTTTGTTTGGCCTAAGCGATGCCAATGACAGGTTCTGGTCCGATGAAGCTGCTTGCAGCACCTTCCTATGCAAGGGAGTCAGCAGCCTCATAAAAGAGTCGTTTTTGGCAATTTGCTACCAATTTAGACGTTGCTCGGTAGGAGCCAAGAGCTTCCAACGCCAGTTGGCTGTCTGAGAATATTTTTATTGACTCATGTATGAGGTTGGATTCTTCCATTCTCTCCGCACAGGATTCAATAGCCTAAATTTCCACTTGAAATATAGTCGCATAGGTCCCTAAGCATTGTGATATCTCTGTCCTGGGTCCGCTGAAAACACCTGCACCAGAACATGAAGGTGTTTTTGATCCATCTGTAAACCAACAACTACCCGCTCTTGATATTTCCTTTTCCCGGAGGATTCAGTTCTCTCTACTCGGTAACAGTACTTTACAAGGCAGTTCGTAGATTTCTTACGTCGTCTTTGAATACCCATGAGATCAACAAATTATTTTAGTACATTTTGGAAAAAAATTCGTTTTGGGCTGAACTTCAAGCATATTTTTATCACCATTTGAAACACACACGCAAGAATAAACTATAACACCCATTTCATTACAGAGTTTAAAGCCACAGCGTCCCCTATTTCGGACACCAACAAATTACAAACGAATCAGGAAAGTGACAGCAATCACTCAAATGCAGTTTCAAAGGGCCGTAATTCATTAGTGAAGTTGTATTTTAGAAAGGGTTAATTAAATGCTCGCGTGAATGTGAAATGCATAGTGATTGCCCTTCTCTCTCACTTGATTTGAAATGAACGGTCTGAACGAAGTTCCTTTGCACACAACTTCCACTAGACTGGCAAGCAAACAAGAAATTTGAATGAAAGCAATGTGCCTAAAAGAGAAACACAAACCAGCCGGGATTGAGACGTTAATATAAACGGGCATACGGAAAAATTTTTGAAGTGCCTCAGAGTATGATGGACGAAAAGCGTCTACAAGATCATCTTCTTTGAGGTTTCCGGCAGGCATTTACCAGAACCTACTGCGTAGGTAGTTTGGAGAGATGAATGTTGCGCCTGACCAGTAAGACAAATAGTGTGAGCAAATCAGATTTCTGAATTTCGGCCCATTGATACATTGCCATGTACAGAAGAAATATTGAATTGACATTATGTATACAGCTTTTAGATTATTTAACATCCAAATTTTCGACAAGGTATATTATCAATCACGATATCGTGAACGTCATTCTTGTGAATCTGCTATTCAGTCAACTGTTACAAAATGAAAAATATTTCTAGATGGCGGTGAAACGATATTTTGGAAATATACAAAAAATTTTAATAAACGAGCTCAAAGCTCTAGGTGTACGTGGATTGACATCAAACTGGTTCAGGGATTATTCAACGAATAGATTACAAGACAAAACGGATTGACAATTTTGTGTCAAACTTTATGACAAAAGAATTGCAAGAATACATCTTCAAAAATGTGTCATTGTATATGAAAGATAATAAAATGATGATGTTTAAAAAACTAAGGTCATGGTTAACTGCTCAGCTTATGAACTAAATCGAATTGATATAAACAACATTGTACTCGTGGTAAATTGTGACAAAGTAAGATTTGTACATTGTTATGAGTACTTATCTAGTATTTATACTTGGTGATAAACCATATTTCGAAGCTCACTTCGAATGTGTTACAAAAAAGAATACGGAAAACTGTACTTTTCCTCTAGAAAATCAAAGATAACTGTGAATATGACTGGAGTTCTATCCCAACACAAAACCGTTATTTTCACCACCTCTGTTCAAAATCTGTTTAAAATCAGTTTTTCCATTAACCAGCTGTCGCACCCCTACGAACGACAACCCTTAGAAGTTTAAACTTGTGCGAGGTCTTACCTTTTAACGTGTGATTCCTAACACGGGTTGGATGATAGCAAGTGAAAATCGATCGTTCAGCCTGAGGCTTGAACCACCGACCAACACTGCGGTCGATTTGAGTGAGGGAACAAAGCACCCACGTCAAACCGACCGGCTACCAGTCCATGAGAACATAGACCACATTAGATATATAAGGAAAGCTTCCAGTATTTTCAGACGGTATATTTAGAAATTTCCCTATACCTAGTGGAAATTTTGACCATTCGCTCGTAGTATTAGTATTAAACCTGTGAATCCCACAATAAAGTATTTGCCATACGTTCATTGATCACTGCATGTAATCTGAATGAATATTTCCGAAGATAATACAGATTTAAAATACAGGGACGATTGCGGAGGTACCGAGCCAATTATATGTCGTTCTCTAACTAAAACCTGTGTGTATTGTCTACTGACAAAAAATCTGTGAACGTTGTATATAAAGACATTCTGTAGTATATTTGGTATCAGCAGGCAGGTCGCTAGTTCTTCAATATATCTCAAAGAACTTAGATAGTGTTTTCGTATCATCACCGCCTAGACTTTTCACGGATGACATAGTTCAACCAATTGACACACATACACCTTCCTCTTGAATCATTATGTTCTTCGGTGAACACCTTATGAAAATCTGTTCTGTCGAAATGTTCTCTCTAATTGAGGAAGAAATTAATATCAATGAATATTTATAAATCTTGAATTATGAGAAAATCCTCCCGGGTATTCTTTTCAATCTGCTATAAGATCTTTTTATCCCCGTTTACGAGGTTGAAGAAGGGCACCGGACGTATTATGTTGGATGAAGGTTTCGCTCTCAAAATGTCAATGAATTTCAAGAAAACCAACTGTGATCCCTAGCTTTTGACGCGTAAACGATTGTGCCATCCTTCCACAGGATTATTTGAGCGGGGTTTATAGGACATAGGGGCTGTAAATTGATTCCAGAGATTCGATTCGATTGCTGGTCCCTGACGTCGGATATAAACCCCTAAGACTATACCGGGTGAGTCATAAGTTGAAGTAGTAAAGGATTTATAAATATAGGTTTATATTCTGAAATTAGCGGAATAGAATTTAATGTGAATGAAAATAAAAACTGATTTGGAATATACGAGGGTTGCCTTTTATGTTTCGGGATTTGGCAACCCTAGTGTTGCAATCTGGTAACTGACAGCTCTATCGTATGTGCTTATACGTACTCAGAACGTTTTGACATACACGCGCTGTTTGTGTTGTTTGCAGTAACTTAAAAGATTCATCTCAGCCCAAAAATGGAATTAAATCGTGAACATTTTCATGCGATTATTTTTTACAACTTTCGACGTGAATTAACTCAGTAACGGTGCATGGATGAACTTAATTCAATTTTTGGCGAGGAAGCTCCATCGAGGACCAGTGTTTATCGATGGTATGGTGAATTCAATCGTGGTTGTAGTTCACTCTAAGACGAATTTCCTGAAGGTTGTCCAAAATCAGTTGTTGTTCCGAAAACCATTGATGCTGTTTGATGATATTGTAAGATCGTCATGTGACCTATCGTGTAATTGAGACAACCTTAGGCATTAGTGGGACCAGCATACATTCAATATTGCATAAACATTTGACTGTCAAAAAAATATATTCGCGTTGGATCCTACACAATTTATCAATCGCTCAAAACAAAGGCTCGTGTCGATTGGTCGAAGAAAATGCTCAAAAAATACGATCGCGGTGCTTCGAACCACGTCTATGACATCATGACAGGTGATGAATCATGAATTTACGCGTATGAGCCCGAAAGTAAACAGCAGTCGACTGTATGGGTGTTTCAAGATGAGCCAAATCCAAGCAACGCGGTTGCATGTTTTGGAGATACCTCAATCAGAGTGTCAAAAGTGCTTCGACAATTGGTTCAAACGCATGCGAAAGTGTTTAGTTCTTCATGGGAAATATTTTGAAAAACAATTAAGTGATTTTTGATTGTTAATATTTGTTTTTGTTCTCTCATCCCGAAATAAAAAAGGAAACCCTCGTAATAGTACTAGCAACCCACTCCGGCTCCGCACGGTTGCAATGCTGATACTAAATATTATTACACAATGTCTTCATATACAATGTTCACAGCTTTCTTGTCAGTAGAAAATACAAACATTATGTTTTAGAGGTTACTCTTGTAGTCGACGTTTCGGAAAACATTTTTTTCCGTTTTCAAAACCTGAAATTTACTATTAAACTTCAGCCTCAAATTGTGAATAGATCTTATTCTTTCGACATACATCAAAATAATGAAATGACCAGATGTCATATGCGATAGTCTACATGAATACATATACTTTTCCAAAGCAGCTGTTAATGCGACATCAAATCATTTTGGCCAAAATTTGTCTCTTCCATATACTACCTCTAAGGCATGTAATCCAACGGAACTGTTTATTTCTCTTCCTATTACCGACTATGAAATAGTCAGTACTCTTGATGGAATGAAAAACAAAAAATCTGCTGGATATGACGAACTATCTGTAATTACCCTGAAGAAAATAATATTTGCTATTATTAAACCATTAACGTTCCTCATGAATCAATCTGTTATACAGGGCTATTTTCCGGAGGCTCTCAAAAAAGCTATTATCATTCCTGTGCATAAAAAAGGAAGTCCAACGAACATTGAGAACTATAGACAAATTTCACTCCTGAGTTCAATTTCCAAACTTTTCGAAAAAGTAATTGCAGTCAGANTAGTTTTTTAACTTATCTATGTGAAATTTCTGACTGACGTACCATATATACAAATTGTATCATAAGTGGTAAATAAAGATATTATCATTATTATTATACCGAATGTTTTTTGAGAATTCAGTTAAGATTCATATTTCAGTTTGAAGTAGACTCATAAATACCACCTAATAATGACCTAGGATATCCCTGACAGTTTCTGAACATTCCAGACTATTTACAAACATTTCACGAGTTTTCGTATAGTTCTTGTAGGTTCTGTGATGCTCTGGACTGTTCCAGAGGTGCAAACTAACCAACTCTCGTCATGAACACCCTGTGCAAGGTTTCTTGCGAACTACGGCATTAAACCAGAAACAGTTTTTCGATTATTCAGTATGTATTTTTGTATTCCACATTGTGAATATGGATTACAAAAATTGAAGTGAACTTGAACGAATATTCCATCCCAGCGAAGTTTATATCACTGAATATCGCCTCCGCTATATTTCACCTGATCCCTCTGGCCAGGATATTGATTTTGATTCATTCTTTATTGTTTCAGTTTATAAATAGCAATTATGGCGAACTGGTTGTCTGTGCTTTCAAAAGTAACACAACGAACGACAGAGTATGCAAAGAGATAACTGTAAATGGTGAGATCAGTTTTAATTCTAAGGATTTCTGTACACCGGATTTGCCGTGCGACCTGCTATTCGCAGTCAAGGGAAATTCAAGCCGAATGAGTTGTGCAGGTAATTATTAAAGTGAATTGAAGCCACGTTTTTGATGAACATTCTTGAACATAATTGTCGGTTCACATGGTGTACACAGTGCATGCCAAAAGTAAAGAATAAAGTCTATAAATTGGTTGAAGGACATATATTAAAAAAAAATCTCGAACCGGTCGATTTTCATACAATCAATTAGCATTTTGGAAGTAATTATAAAATACTAATAAAATAAAACTGTTGCAACACCATGGAATTATAAAACAACTTTGCTGGTTGGGAATATTCGACCAGGCACTGTCAAAGATCAATGTCGTGGAAACAATAGGCTAATTTTCGCTTTTTTTCTATTCCAAAAATGAAATGGGCACTCAATTCGAAGCGAAATAAAATAATCTGAGTGTTTTCGATTCTTCAGAAAACAGTCTCATAGAAGCTATTCAGTGAAAGGGGCATAACGTCATCAGATATACAAAATTCGGAGCCGATTAGGAATCATCATGAGTTTCAGAAGTTTCTATGTAGCGGTATAGTCTATGTTGTAGAATTATCTTTTGGTTGTTTTTATTTATATGCCTATGTTGTTGAAGGATGGAAAGGTATTGTATATTTAGGTTATGGGTTTACCTATGCAACCCGAAATGCACGACATACATTGTTTATGAATGTAAGCAGAAAAGTTGATAAAACCTTGCAAGTAGTTATATGTTGAAAAAAATATGTTGTTGCGTCAACTAGCTGTCGCACCCCTACGAACGACAATCCTCAAAAGTCGAAACTTGTGCGAGCTAAGGAATAACGAGATCTTACCTTTCAACGTGTGATTTCTAACACGCATTGGACGATACCAAGTGAAAACCGATCGTTCAGCCAGCGGCTTGAACCATCGGCTTATAGAGAGTATGTGCTGTGACGACAACTAACATATTTCACCTGATACCTTTCAATAATGGCTGCCGCACTTTAGACGAAACGCCAGGTTTGAAAATCAGAAGACTAAGTCCAACAAACCCTGAATATAGATTCAACATAATATTTCCGGTCATTAAAGCTTTCATTGCGTAATTGTTGTTATTAATATTACAGCTCAATGGATTTCGCTACAGAATTCAAGCACTGTGAATGAAACATATATANATCATTCATAGACACTGATATGATTTGTTTTTTTCTTATACAATTTTCTGTTAAAATTTTTGCTGTAGCTCTATCACAACTTTCATTTTTAAAAAATCAGCTACAATTGCCATTTTTTCTTTACCGTGAACCATTTTAGCCAGTTTTTTATATATAAACACTTTTTTCGAGTTTATTAGCCGCATTCCGCGGGTCTTTATGGTTGACGTTTCGTCTACGATTGCGTTGTCCTCACAGCAGATACTACTTTCATACAATCGACCGTCTACATTGACCAACTTGATGAACCATGAAATTACTCAGATACTGAGAATTGAACAATATAATTATTTTGATCACCGGTTATTTACGTTTTCTATACGTACTCATTTTCGAACGACAAGTCCTAAAAAAGACTCTTGTTCTCCTCATTTGTTACTTTTTTCGTTTTCCACTGTAAAACACTGGCTAATAACAATCTATACCTTACTCTGGAAAAAATACTGAGGAAGATCAATTATCATTGTTATCATTATATGCACTGCGTGTGACCTTCTCTTTTCAGTAAAGAAAAATTCGAGGTGAATGAGTTGGCAAGTAATTATTTCTACCAACTGAAACCCCGATTTTGATAACAGGTAACTTAAGCATTTTCTTGGAAACTAATTAAAAGTTTCGTTATGGGCATAATACGATATTTCACGTTTTGGGCCTGATGATGGCTGCCCACAAATGATATTCATTTTGTGCAATATTCAATGGCTTCATTGCCGTAAATGAGTCTCGCCTTTCAATGAGATAGGGCATTTCTGCACAATGAGTTTTTGTTAGAGAACAGACTGATTGCTTCCTCCCAATAATTGCAATTTTGGAACATTCGAATATACTTTCATGATTATATTTGAGGAGCAACAAAAATTCTTCATTACTAAAATTTCAAACTTATTCAAGCTAAAGTCGGAAGGCTGAATGTGAAATCAGTGTTTATTCTATTGTTTCTACTTTATTTCATTCGGTTTGAAACGTTCCACACAAAATTAATCAGTCAATTTTAGGCAGTGTTAAGTCTCGTATAAATGTATTCGTTTCATGTTCAATGGGCACTACTGTTAATCTGTTCAAAAATCTGTTTTTCCGTTAACCATCTGTCGCACCCCTACGAACGACAACCCTCAGAAGTCGATACTTTTGCGAGCTGAGGATTAATGAGGTCTTACCTTTAACGTGTGACTCCTAGCATAGGCAATAATGTATTCATTATTGCCTATGCCCAACCTGCCAAGCAGGTGGAGCAGTTTCAAAGGCATCATCATTCTACAGGTCTTTTGACTATCTTTGAAACAATGCGCCTGCTCATTTTTTCTTAGTATTTTCTGAAAAATCGCGTTCTAAAATTATATAATGTAATTAGAACTTGCCTGAACCAATATCAATTGACTTCTTCGAAAAATAAAAATTGTAAGACCATCAACTGACCAGCTCATTAACTATTCAAAATGTCTATTGTACTATAAACAGTGAAAAAGTGTGATCGAGTACTCCTGCTTAGCTTATCTGAAAACTCCATCCGAATTTGATCTGAATGCTGCTATAATTCGCGTTTTGAGACCATCAATATCAGCAGGGAAGAAACCAGAACCCACAGACAACTTTTTTGTAATTCAACACCTGACAGCGCTGCTTCAATTCGTCATAGATCGCATCAATGGTGCTAGGTTGAACCACGAATGCGTTGCTGAACAGTAATGTCCTCAGAGGACAATCCTGAGTAACTGAGGGCAATAAGAGTTTCCCATTTTTTTTGTACCTTGGGAGCTGTCTGACTTGTCCATCCAGTCCAAGTCTCCAGAAAACACAGCAGCCTCTTGGGATTATTGCGTTTATTCTCCCATCTTCTCATGCAAGGCCAAGCTTCAACATCGACCGTGAAACGAGATCCGTTCTCTGTATTTCACTGCAGCTTATACTGCAAGGCAACTGGTGGAAACTAGAGCCAAAAAATGAAGCATTCATATTCAACAACTGACAGTGCTGTTTCGACCCGCTATCAGTGATTCTAGGCTGAGTCACAAATGCAATATTGCACTCTCTGTCCTTAAAAGACAAGCCTGAGTAAGAAGAGCCGATTACATCCATGCTTGCGGACACGCCATCTGTGAGATCGACAGAAGGCTCAATCCACAAAAATTAAAGGTAAAGGAGGCTCCCCGAGGCGGTCCATTGCAAATCCAACCTTCGACGAAAAACAAGATTTGTCCTCTGTCACTGTTGCTTTCAATGCAAGGCAACTAGATGAAACCAGAGCACAAAGAAGGAATTTTGATCTAACACGCACCTCTGATAAAACCAATTCCGGGTCGAAATGATGCTGTCTAGTGTTGGATCACAAATGCTTTGTTTTTGGGCAGCAGTGGCAAACAGAGAACCAACCTCGTTCGGCGAAGTCGGGTCAGATCGCTAGTATTAAAATAATCCTCAGTCAAAATTACCAACTCAGAAATTTTCCAATTTCCTTTCTAAATATATTCCTCGAGTGCTTCTATGGATTTCTGCTGTATTATACAGAGCATTCCATTTAAAACAAGCCACCCTGAATAAATTTTGGTACAATGATTTTCAGGAAAAATAAAAAAACACGTCAAAAATAGTATACAGGGGGACACATTTCGACATATTCACATTTGATGTTATTTCCCCTTTCGTACCCCCAGAGCATGTCACTAATTTTTTTTAATGGATCACCCTATATTGTTTCGCATTGTCAGATGCTCCATGATGAATATATATATATATATATAGAAATTCATGTGGCTTGACGCTAGGGCCTCAATCTGCCTACTCCACATCAAATTATTGGAAATGACTCCAAATGTCAAATACAAAACTCCAGATGCGGTTCAACCTGAACTTGAGGACAAATTACTGCTGACCGCGGAAACTTATCCGGAAAAGATAAGTTGGAACAGCACTCAAGAAAAATTGATGGCAAACCGCGGAAACGTGATTCAGGCTATTGGCCTCATCAGCGCAGTGTAGCCAAGTGCAAAGATGGACAACACTTGGTTGCCGAAAAAAGGGAAGAGAGCACAAATGAACGTAGTCAACTACAGGAGCCTACCGCACATTTGTGATTGGTTGGAAAACCTAGAATTCCTAGGATATCCTAACGTTATCACGGAGGCAGCTACAGTTACCTGCCTAACTTCCGGGTCGTTTCTGCTTTCTTCCCATTTTTTCGGCAACCAAGGGCTGTGTAGCCAAGTGCAAAGATGGGCAACACTTGGTTGCCGAAAAAAGGGAAAAAAGCAGAAACGACCCGGAAGTCAGGCAGGTAACTGTAGCTGCCTCCGTGATAACGTTAGGATCCTAGGAATTCTAGGTTTTCCAACTAATCACAAATGTGCGGTAGGCGCTTCTGTTGTTAACTCCATTCGTTTGTGCTTTCTTCCCTTTTTTCAGCAACCAAGTGTTGCCCATCTTTGCACTTGGCTACACCGCGCTGATGAGGCTAATAGCCAGGCTGTTCCAAGTAACCTTACCCTTTTGAAATCATTCATAGACACTGATATGATTTGTTTTTTTCTTATACAATTTTCTGTTAAAATTATACACAAACAACAGGTTTGTCGTCGCCCCATCTGCCTGTGAACGAGGTAACCAACTGCATATCCGAAATGTGCCCAATTCCTCGTATAAGGAAAGGAAACTTTCACGTATAGTCGGTGGGCATTAACCTACTGTGTAGGGTGTTGAGACTGGCCTGAACGAATTGTTCTTTTAGATGATTTGTATGCCCACTGACTATACCCTGACTATGCCCACTGACTATGCCCACTGACTATACGTGAAAGTAATCTTATATGAATGAAATTTGTACTCAAGAAAGATCCTGACAACATATATACGAC